TCCCACGTCATTATAGTTGTGCTTTTAAAGTTGTAGCAACGTTTCAGCAGAATCTCATCTGCCATCATCAGGCTTCTGTATTGTGTCCGTCTGACATATATATATATATGTATATGTATATGTATATGTATATGTATATGTATATGTATATGTACCCTGTTTCTCCAACAATACGGCCTCCCCCAATAGGAAGTCCCAGCATGTTTTATAGGCATGAAATGAAATTAAGCCCCTCCCCCCAAATTAAGGCCTATATTAAAACATGCGAAATGGGGGGGAAATGGCGGGGGGGTTGCTGTTAGGAAGTACTTTTGTTGCACACCCGGATATGGTGCTGCCTGCGTTGACCCTGATACAAAGTGCCCCACCAACGCCGAGGTCAACATCCAAGCCGTCGCCGCCTGCCTGCCCGAAGATGCAAGTGGGGGGAATTAAGTCACCCCCGAAAAGACGGCCTGGCCATTTTTTCGGGGCTCAAAAAAAAAATAAGACCCGGCCTTATTATATGAGAAACACGGTATATGTATATGTATATGTATATGTAATGTATATGTATATGTATATGTATATGTATATATATGTATACAATACTTTGTCTTTTCTCTGAGCAAACCTTGGATTATGTGTTATTACTTTTTATTTTATTCTAACAGCAGTCCTATGAGATTGATTGGCTGAATGTAAGTGACTGACTGTAAATGGTCTGCTGATAATGGATCTTATATGGAATCTTTCTGATTATATCACAATATGTTAAGAATACTACACTAGATAAATATGAGTGATAGCTCATTTATGATAGAGTGATACAGTTTGGTCTAGCAGAGACAACCAGTTAACTAAAAAGCTTTCTCGGTGACTTTGAGCCAGTCATACTCTGTTAGCTCAAAATGTTTGACTCAGATGGGAATTCTTGTAATAGACAATGGATCAACACTCAATTGCTCCAAAAAAAGCAGGCCATGTATGTGCGTGTGTGTGTGCGTGCGTGCGTGAATGTGTGTGCGCACGCACACAAACACGCACACAGAAATATAATACATTTCTTCAGAGAAATTTATGTTGAGCAGATACCAGAACCATGCTCATAGAGACAACATGGAAATAAAATTCCCTAAATTAGAAAAGATTGTAAATAAACTGATAGATAATTGCTATTGTTGTTTAAACACTTTTTAACAAAACCAAATAAAATTGGAGCTACTGGATTATGGTTTTACTAATTGGGATATGGCATTGTGATCTGGGGTTGGAATTATGGTTTTACTGGGACTATTGTTTTACCAATATGCACCAAAAAGGGCTCGATTTAAAGCGATTCATAAGGCAAGGTAATTCAAGAAGTCCAAAACTGATTTAAAAAAATGTATCCTCACATTGTAATCAGGTATTATGGGTTTCAACTCGATAATTCAATTGTTTATTGAATTTTTCACAGAAAACTGAAATGGTGGATAGATGGTGATTAAAATTTTTGGAAAGTTTGACTATCTCACTATAAACAGCCTTATTCAAAATAGTCTGCATAAGCTCCACTGTGGCATTTCCAAATGGCCTTTACCACATTCATTACAATATTTGGCTATAAAAGGCTTTGTTGACTTTTTAAACATGTCTTACAAATAAAAACTTGTCTCATGATGATGTGATTCAACAGAATAAGTCCTCCCATGTCATTTGACCTACCTAAGAATTCAGTCTATCCCATAATCTCTTAAAGGTGATTAATTTCTGAAACCTCTCAGTTCAAATATTCTTAAATTTTATAACCATAACTTTTAAAACCTAATTAAGAAAGGGGAGAAAGGATCTAGTTTCAAGATGAAAGTTTAAAAACCTATATTCCTAATAGTTGTAGTCAAGAATATTGATCTCATTATGAGTGGACATCTTGGTTTCATTTAATTTCCTGTAATATGGACCTAAGTCACAACATATCAAAAAATTCAGACCTTGAATCTGACAAGCAATTTCATAAACTATGTTCCCAGACCATGTTACAATGCATCAAAACATTTTGTATGGGGAACAAAAGTCCTTAACAATCATTTTTTCTGTCCTTCAAGTTTTTTAAAAAAAGAAAAGCCTTGCGATTTTGTTTCCTTTTCCTTTTTAAAATTTTTTAAATGAAATAAGCTTCCTCTTGATTGATATATTTTACTAGGATCCTTTATAAGGCTATGTAATACGTGTTCTTTCAGGCTCCATTGCTAATTTTCTATTTTTACAAAATTAGAGGCATACAGAAGTGTACTTTCTGAAGAAAAAAATCTCATTTAATTCCTTTAACTCAATGAAATATGGAAGCTAGCAGCACATCAGAAGGCCAAGCTTTTTAATAGAAAGCCTCAAAATGTCATTATTGATGAAAACGAATTACTAATTAGTAATTTCCACCAACTGAAAAAAAATCAATCTGCATTTTGAACTGATGCCCTTGAATAGCTGCAATATTGATCTTAGAGAGTATTTTGCTTGCTGCTTTAACATGTTCTTGAAAAATAAAGGGATACATGCACTGATTAAAACAATTCTGAGCAAATTGGCCACAAGTTGCAATTCCTCTGGTCTGTCATCTAACATTATATAGGAATATTGGAACCATGATAACTTACCTTTGGCAAAGCATATTTAGGAAGTTTCATCTGTGCAAAAGTATTTCTGCGGTAAGACACGTAGTAATGTGGCCGACCTCCAGATGTCAGCTGCAACATATAACATTGCTTTTCTTTATTATTTTAATTGAGGTGACTTTATCACTGTTTTCTCTCTCTCTTTTTTTAAAGCCATGTAAAAAATAACAGGTGCGTTATAAAGGGAAATGCAGTTATGTCACAACGGTTCCAGGATGGCAATGAAAATACAGCAGGAGATGAAATAGCCCTTATTCAGTTATGGAAAAAGACAGCATTAATAGGTATAAATTATGCAGACTGCCAAGGAGATGAAAATAGCAAATGAAATCTACAAATGTACAGAAGCAGCATTCAGCATCCCCAATTGCATAGGCAAAAATTGTAATACTGTACTCAAGTCAATACGTTACATGTAATATTCCCAATTTAGACAATGAGAAAAGCTTTTTTGTTCTAGTCAGCTTTGGAAAAAAATACTTTTTCTCCCACTCCAAGCCAAGGGCCCTAAGATTCTGATGAGTCGTAGATGGTACACCAAAGCTCTCCATAAAGTATTCCATTTGTGTAACAGTAATATTTACACATGCTACAGCCAGCCACTTCTTCCAGCAGGCCAAAGAAATGAAATAATTTTCAAGCAACAACCCATGAGACTGCCTGCCCTTTCCAAAATCCTGGAGGCCAAAACAAAAATCAATCTTTTTCTAGTCACACTGAGTGACAAAACAAAAAAAAAAAAAATCTGTAACAATTCATTAACAAACAATAGGAGAAATAACTATCTTACTGAACATGAAATAGAATTCTAGAACTTTGTTTCATTTTTATTAGCTTTCTTAAATAAAGTATATTATCTTTTTAAAAAAGTATACATTAAAATATGTTAAGAATGTAATTAAGAGCAATCTCAGTTAATGCACAATTCTGCTCTAAAAATATTTTCTCTAAATTGCTGGAGTAGCAAGATACACACAAGAAATACCACAAGCTTGGGAAGGTTTAGCACCTCTGGTCAAACTCCACATTTCAATGAACTTTAAGTGAACAGACACTGACTTAGCCCTATGCCAGGCAGCTGTACATGACATCTTGAATAGGTATATATTATGTTTGTGCTGTTGCTTACAGACTTAAAACAAGAAAACAAGGAAAATGCAGAAGTTTAGAGTCTCCTCCGTGTCTCCTTCCTTCCTTCCTTCCTTCCTTCCTTCCTTCCTTCCTTCCTTCC